TCAGAGGGCAAGAGCTCCATGACAAGCCCACGAATGTTTAAAATCACCTTTTAAAAAAAAACAGCAGCCCTTTTGAACAAACTTACTTATTGAAGAGTGAATCACTGTATTTAATGAAATATTAACTAGAACTGTATTATTTGAGATCACTTTATTGAAGTTTTCTTCAGGCACAACACAGTATTGCAAAAAATCCACACGGACAAGGCACAGTCACCTTAGCTTCAAAATATATATATATATATATTTTTTTGGTACTTATCTAAACCAGAAGCTTGCAAAGAAAACATATGTTGTATGAGAACATTATACAGGGTATATGATGACATACAGTAATTACATTCCTTGGAACGCACAGGTATTGATGTATAAATGCTTTAACTCTTAAAAATAAAATGCATAGCAATAATCTGCAATGAGCCCTACACAAGGCTCCCACCAGTTTAATCCAGGATCCAGCTTTGCTTCACTAACGGCTCCTCTGCACTGAAATTACTTAATTATAGGATGTATTTGCTTCTGAAGCATAGAAAATTGAGTATAAATAAAAATCTTCCATACAATGTACGGTCTGTAGCTCCAGGTTGGGTTCAAGGCACATGGGTGATCCCATCCACTGGTTTTAAACCAGACATGCTACTGTTAACTAATGGATGTGTTCAGCTGAAAATAAATAGTCATCTCATGATATGCACTGTATCACCATGTCAGATAAATATTTCTACAGCACCTATTGCTGTGACTTCATATCACGCTTTGGGAACAAACAGCTAAAATGATGGGGGGAAAAAAATCAGGGAAAAAAGTATATCTATCCTCAAACAACACAGTAAATATTAAATATTTTATTATTGACATGTCATTTGCACATAAGTAATGACAAAGCAATGACAAAATAAATAATAAAAGCAAGCTATAAATTCGGTCCCTAAGCAATTGCAATCCCAAGTGTTTGTCAAAGTCATCCAAGAGCAACGGGAACGGGAGCGGATCCAGCAGGCAGGCCCTAGGCAGCCTCCTCAGCCACCAGCAACGGCGCCACCTCCAGCGCCACGAAACCCGACGGCCGCTCCTCGTGCTGGCGATACAAGAGGAACTGCATGGTCACCTGGGATTTTGGGGTAAGGAAGTCATAAACTAGGGGACAGAGGTAGCGTTTCCAGTACTTGCTTTCAATTAAACCCAAAATAAACTGTACGGAATAAAAGCAGCCATCCATTTAGTGCTGGCACAGCCTCCGAATACCACAGTCCACAGAGGAAAGCTTAAAACTTGCTGTATCTAATTCGTGTACTGTAGTGTAAGTATTATCCATTTATTTAATCCCGACTGTGGAATTCTCTACATTAGCATATAACCTTTTCCAAATCCTACTTAACACTCATTGTCAGTACTTCTTTATGGCAAAAAGTTTAATCGTATTTTACTTGCAGCACCAAAAAAGGGAACAAAACTTCAGATCCCCTTGGTTGAATGGTTCAAATACCCATGAAAATATTCTTTACTACCTCATCCTCGTGCTTGCAAGCATCCTAAGTGTGAAATTCCTTTGATGCAGAATAAAACCAAGGTTCATCGAGGAACAAAGTGAAATCAAACGTATTCCCCTGTACTGCTCCAGCCTCAGTGGTCCGAATACTGGTGGATGCTGGTAAGGAGAGGGAGTTATTGAAAACTTCTCCTAGAAACACATCAGAACCAAAATTCTCATTTCCTGCAAAATTCTGAGTGGTTTGATGTTTACAGGCCCTGACAAGCAGACACCACCATGACTCAAACGTTCAATGCTGTTTTCAACACAGAACTGTGCAATTAGACATAATTATTTATTTCTATCATAAACCAGACCATTGGAAATACTGCTAATCTGAAAAAAATTAACAAGTATGTACTTGTCCTTTTTCTTGGTGGTTCCAGCTCTCACACAAAATTATTGACTTTGAACACAGCCTTTAAATTAAAAAAAACCCCACAAATTCGGTACAAACCATTTTGTTTTCTGATCGAGATATCATTTTAAGGTATAAAGATATAATATAAACATATCCAGCTATGCACGATTCTATTCTATTCTATTCTATTCTATTCTCACAACATCTTACAGAATTTCCTAGTCAGAGTAAATCCGTACAGAAATGACATGAAATACCAGCTACATGGTGTGGAAACAAGTGGCCATCCTGTACAAATTCCATTGTACACCCATAGAAGTTCAGCTTTCACAGAGCTTGCATCACCACTACTCTTACACGGAAAATGCCATTTAAAAAATGAAATAGTTTCTCTGGGAGGAAATCTGACATACCAAATAGTATATATCTATTCTATATCTATATATCTGTTCTTCAAAATTACATATATATATCTATTCTGTATCTATATATCTATTCTTCAAAATATATCCATTCTTCATATCTAATCTTTGAAATAACTTGGCTGGTAGACAATGGCAGTGAGAAGTTTGAGGCTAATGTATGTAATTATTTATAAAATTAAGAAAAACAAACCAAAACAACCCTTTCTGGGAGGCCTGGATGAACTGAAAGGAAATTCGGTACATTCTAGGCAGACCCCAAGAATTATCCCAGTTTCCCTGCATTCCACCGCTGAGACCCCTCCCTAAAGACCAGACAGGATTTCCTTCAGAGACTGGAGCTCAGCGCTCCTTTTTCAGTCTTTCTATAGAATTATGTGGGGAATACTTTCTTCTTATAGCTTCACAGATTAGTTTTATAGCATATATAGCTACCACTTAAATTTCCTGCCTTTTTCTCCTTTTTTTATAGGCCTTAGTGTACTCGCAGCTGAGCACCTCCCCAAGTCTTAACAGATGCAATGGTGGAAAAAGACGCTGTGAATTTGAAATCAAATTTGCCAAAATCATCTGTGGGCTGGGGACAAGGGGAGCTGTAGCATGGTGCGTTATCACCCTCAGCCACCAAGTTGGCCACAGCAACAGAGCTTTTGAGGAGAAATAAATTTAAAACACAAGTTATGTGGAGCTTATCAAACAGTATTGCCAGAATATGTTTTCATAGCATATGTAATCAGCTGCTCATATTTTTTAAAGAAATGTTAACCTGCCAAAACTACTTGATATAGAAACTAACTCGCTGCTCAGATTCTGGGGGAAACTTTAAGACCGAAGCATGCAGACAGCCCGAAGTGGAGGAGACAACCAAACCGACTTCTCCAAGTGAAGTTCACAGCAGCCACTGAGCCAGTGCATCAAATCTGTTTCATCAAATTCAACAATTTAATGACAATTCAAAACACGAAAACAGTTTTGAGACAAAAGCGGGTATTTACAGGAGAAGTTGTATGTTTGGCTGGGAAACTCTCCTGGCTGAATTGCCAGGTCAGAGTTGTATTCTTTGCACAGTGTAAATTAAATTGCAAAGCGTGATGTTTTGTAGAAGTATATAATAGATTCCAAGTGGTTGCCCTGCAGATCACAAAAGGTGCAAGAGAAGAGTGCGTACAACAGCTTGGCTTTGCTGAATATGCTTTGGCCATGTAGTAACAACCTGGCTACACTTAATGAAAAGAAGTACATGTGGAGGATTTGAGCACAGCTCTCTGACAATAGGGTGATGTCAAATAATAAATATGAAAACCCAGCAAAAATCCTGGTAAAGGGCTTTGTCTGAACTCAACACAATGCAGAGTTGTTTGGTTTTGGTGGGAGCAGGGGCGGAAGGAAGCAAAGTGAAAGAAGGTATTAAACTTGCAGAGAAGGACGAAGTTTTCTGGAAAAACTTGAACTAAATTCAGTCTCCTGGAAACTCACTGGTGACTGAAAGTGTAAGGGCAGAACTGGTCATCAATTGATTTAGAATTTCAAAATATGTAGTATTGCATCCTTGTGCAGAAGTGAAACATGAATTAATGATGCACATAAGATAAAGCTCTAATAAGGTCCACCATGAAACCTTAAAATAGGCCAATCTGCATTTGGTGTCTCCGGCTGACACAGCACTGCTGAAACCCTGAGCTTCGTGGATTCTTGAGACACTCCAACCACCACAAAGCAGCAGTTGGAAGGAAATATTTCATTTCCTGCAAAAGAAAATCGCATCCAATTTATAATTCAGATGTGTAATGCTATGAAACTCCTCTTAAAATGAAAATGAGGGCAATTCATACTTTAACAAATAATCAGACACTTCCATTATTTATCAAAAATAACTGGCTTATTGTGCAAGGAAATAACTTTGACTGTGGACACCAAGGAAACAGGATGATGGTGTTATCCTGTTAAAGCGAGCCCAAACAACTGCAGTGTAATTCTGCGCTGAGTAACATTGGAGCTGCTGCTTCAGCTCGGAGCAGAAGTCCATTTGTTTCTAAAAGCAGTCAATGCCAGCCGTGTCAGATGGAAGGAGAAGGATACTGCAGCAGACACAGAGTAAGTGAGCTCTTAATCCTCGCTTGGACCTTGAGAAATGAGAGTTTACCTTCCATGTAATGAAACTCTGGGCACTATCAGGAATAAAGTCTACTAGGATTAGGCAATTTCTACAACTACTCCTCAAAACAGAGACTGTTACACACACGATCCATTAGGAAACACCTCCCTCTTAGAAATGATAATATTTTGGTTTCACTCCTCTGTTTTCCAAAACACAGGTGATCCTGTTCTTAATTTTCTGGTCTAACATGACATATCAGTTTGTTAAATTTTTCATTTTCTTGCTTGGCAAGAGACAGTAATGAAGCTCTCTTTAAAAAAGCATTGACTTCCATACCTTCAGGGCTTCTCAAAGCAGGAGGTCTGCTTTTGTTTTCTCTTGATTACAAATACTTCATATAGTTTCAACCAACACTATATACTCGACTCAATTTCTATAAGCTCCTCAAGCTGATTTGGAAGCATCTGTTTTTGATATAATTTGAACTGGAGGACTATTAGCAAGATTGGATTCAGACTCCAATCAAGACAGACCCTCGAAATGAATGTCATGTGCACACTGGCACAGGGGCAGAGCTTGGGAGGGGGGAGGTTTGTGGCCAAATAAAAGTTCCTTTTCAGAGTACATCATCGAAAGGCATCTGCAAATATGTACAAAACATACTGTAAGGGTCATCAAGATTGAGTTTTAGGGTATTTTTTGGTAAATAAATACTGGCCGGTTTATGTTTCCAGCCGGGGGTGGGAGAAAAAGTCACTGCTTCGTTCATGGAGCAAAAGGGCTGAGCACTCAGACTCTGAATCCCTACAGCCTGCTCTTGTGAAAGAAACTGCATTGCTCATAAAAAAGGACAATTTACTTCAGAACGGGCCATGAACCACAGTTCAGTCTCACCACTGTAGTGCAGTATTGTTTAGTTTTACTAAATTGCACACTTAAATCTCCGTGGCTGGAAATGCAAAAAGCAGAGATAGCGGCATCTCACAGCACATCCCAAGGCCGGGGCGGCCGTCCCATCGCTGGCCTAATTGGAGTGGCTTATGAAATTACCTTAATCAGACAGACAAGACTGGTGCCTGGGAATCATAACTTCTGGAGCTGTTCCAGGTAAATCTGGTGAATAACTTCCTTTTAATATGGAACGGATTAACGCAATATGTTTCAGCATGGTCCCGACATCACTCTTCATTTTATCCTGTTTTATACTTCGGGTTCACAGAGCTCAGTACCGAGATGTTTTCAGACACAAATCTAAAATTCCTACTTCAGGGAAAATCAGAAAATCTCCCCTTTACGCTCTTTTAAGTGAAAACACAAGCTATAGTACCAAGACAGGTGACTATAAACCTATAGGGAACAGTAAGGCCCAACACCACCAACATTTAGTAGACTACAAATTGGCTACAAGATCTAAATTAACCTGTGCAATGTAGCTCTAATGTAGATATTTTCTATAAACTTGTTATTCTTATCAAGAAATATGATTATTAAAAGCACAGCAATTATTTTTCAGAAAGAAGATTTTACGATCAGGTTAGACTCATAGAAAAAAAGATGGTTTTTTTTTAAAATCTACTTAATTTCTGATCTACTTTTCAACAAGCCTATCCTAAGAATCTCTGGCTGTAACACAAAAAGGATACAAAAATGTCTAGAAACAAAACGCCGAAGCTCCCAATAAGCCAGGGGAGATGGTGTAAAAAGTAGAGGGTCCGGAAGGATTTGGTGGGTGGCATCTTTAAAACAAGGCTCAGCCCATAGGTGCAGTTTCCCATCATAGCTAATGCAAACAGCAGGTAAGAGGTGCCTTCTGTTGATCTTCTCTGGAACTGAACAAAGACATTTTCACAGAAGAAATGTTAAAAGATGTATCGCAGTAGCCACTTACAGATGATTTTAGCACACTATAACACATCTGGAGATTTTCAGTCATTCCTGTCCATCTGAATCCTCCCACCTCAGCACTTTCAGCACCGAAAACGTCAGAAATCGTCACAGCTCTGGTTAATGTAATTTCTGAGTAAGTGCAAAGCAGCAAAGATAATCTGCTTCCAAATGAGGTTTAAGAAACCTGTCGCTCTATCAGTCTGCTCAATAGACCTTTCTGAAAATACTGTGGTATTCCAGCTGGGATGGAAAAAGGAAAGGTAAAGGAGGAACACGAATAGGCTTGAAAATTAACTAATCATTTCCCTCAACAATCAAAATGCCTGTATACTACTGACAATGCAAAACCTTCAAGTTTCTTGCTGGTTTGGATTTTTTATTTATTTAATATACTGATATTGAACAGGCTGCGGGGGAAAAATAGTTTGTAAAGGCATCTTTGTGAAAAAGGGGCTAAAATTCTGAACTGACTTTCCTTTAATTCTAACTTCTGATCCCAGGACTGGTTACTTGAAGTAGAATGGTTTGGAGAAAAAAAGGGGAGATATCACTTGTTCATTACAACCATCACACAAAGCATGTTTCTGCTCCTATCTGCTAAATCCAACTGTAAGTAATTAATTCATTGCATCTTCCTTTGTCAATCAATCCTTTCTCATCAATAGAAGACCATAATTTTCCTAAAATTCTCACAATCTGCCTCTGAATAGAAAAAAAAAAAATCCCTTTTTTTCTATACCATTTAAGAGAGTCACAAAAGCAAAGTAGGTTTTCGGGTTCATGGGGCTCGCTGCTAGGGAGAATCCAACATCTAAAGCAACAGTGAGTATTTTGTAAAACAGACAAGTATACTTAGCTCAAAACCTACTTACATTTTTATACAGCTGAGGAAATCTACTTCCCAAGTAAAACACACAGGATACGTAGCCACAAATGAAGCCTGACATTTCAATCATATCCAGAGAGTTCTGCAAAAGAAAGGTACATACATTTTGGCAAGAATGTCTTCAGAGGATTAAACCGCGAGTCCAGTGGCTGATTTTCTGGACAGAAGTCCTTTAAAGCAGTTCAGTGCTGCTCTTCAAATGCCCAAATTGGGCTGGAAAAGGTTTAATCTTTATCTCACAACAATGCCCACTGCTGCGTCACAGCCACGACTGAGATCAAATCGGTGCAGGGCTTTGGGATATGACACTGATATCAATCCAGTCCTCCTGCTAAAAAAGGCCTGGGCACAATAATTCAAACCAAAACTCAAACCTGTAGCTAGGGCCTCTAAAAAAACTATGAATCATCCTGTCTGGAGAAGGAAAAATACTCATTTTTCACAGTTTAGGAGTTGTTAGTTTTCTCACTCTAGCTGTGTTTTGAAAATAAGTTGCTTCCCTGCTGGGCAATGTTGCTGGATTACAATGATGTTACTGGCATTAGTATGAAGGCCATAAAATCGCTAGAATAGCCCGTGAACTTTTCTGCTGAAATGACAGCAGCAGGTACAATTGTAGTTTTCCACTTTTATTGATTTCGCTGGCGGCTGTGCAGTCTCTACATGGACGTTTGCAGTCTCTAACACAAGCAGAAATACAACACGTACACACGTTACCTCGCAGAGCAGCACATCCTAACGACCCAAGGGACAGAATAAGCCCCAAACACAGGAAGCAGCTGAAAGAAACAATTTTGTAACTTCTTCATTTTGGGATGTATGGTCCATAGTTGAAATAGCCACACAGCGCCACATTTATGATTTCTAAATCATTGTTAAAAAACATCATCCAAATTTCTTTAAAGCTCAGAGTACACAATCTTTTCAATACACTTCTGGGTTTTTGTTTTGAATGGAAGCAGGTAAGAACTTACATTTCTCCTTTTGATTTCTGTACTCTGGTTTCTTAGTAACAGCTGAGAGAGTAAAACAATGCCCAGTGCCATACACACCACGGTCCAGGTTATGCAGAAACTTCTCAGGCTTTTGCTGTCTTGAATGACAAACAAACAAATCAGCTGAAACACAGCATGTGCTGCTGATTTGCGGTTGCTTTTTGTTTGCAATATAAATATGTAAATTTAAAGGTAAAATTTCATCTATCTTTTCCTTGGCAGCAACCTAAGTCCACCTCTTTCTTCTGGGCTCTCGCACACCCCTGCTCACTGTCAATGTTGTGTTGAGTCTTTGTGCAACGATGGAGAGGTGGAATGGGAGAGAGCTCCTTAAACGAGCATTGCTACCAAGAGAGAAAGTCTTCATACTCAGTTATCTCTTGTACTAACTAATAATTTACTGTTAAATAACAGCTGATAAACAGAAAATTGCTAAATAGAGGAGAATGTAGCAGTTTCATTTGGTAGTGCTAGGTTAACAGTTGGACTCGATATCTTCAAGGTCTTTTCCAACCTAAACGATTCTATCATCTTGATTAAAACTGCAAAAGCAAAGATACAAGAAATTTAGATTATGTACTTGTCTTAAAGATATTTTTGATAATTTAAGTGCTCTGCTGGAGCAGGGCCTATGTCCATGGTGGGTTAGACATCGAGCCTTACTGAGGCTCACATACTCAACGACACAGAGTCCATTTAGCAAGTCTCCATAGACAAGTTCAAGACAACTTGAAAATGTCCTACAGAGCTCTGGAGCTGTTATCTTCGGTACCCCCGAGATGCTGGTGAATTCTGCAGTCACTGGTACCAGCAGATCCAACTCCTGCACGGCATGAATAAACCTGCCCAAAATACCTGTGGACTAAAGAGCACAGACTGAGCAGTGCTGCTCCACAGGCTGCACTTTGAGGTCCTAAATTAACCAACTTGTCCAGAAGTGGGTACTGAAATGCCCCTTTTTACAGCTTTAATCCCAGTATCACTCCTCCCTCGCCAGAGTTGTGTTTGTTTTCAAGAGCAGGAAGGAAATCCCTTCAGCACTGACCTATCTCCAGGTTTATTATCAGTTCCATATTGAATGAATCTGCTTTAGCCCTATTTAGTCTGCTGGGCAGGCATCTGTTTTCCTTCAGCTTTTTGTTACTTCTGCTGCACCATGGATTTTCTTTGATACTTTCTTGGTTTTTCTATTTCTTTAGATTGATGAGTTAATGTTTTTGATTTGATACAACATGAACAGAGCTTTCCATCTTCCATTTCAGTCAAAACAGTAGAGCACTGGTAGGCTGAATACTACAACCACTGCCAGCATTTTATGAAGCACAACTCTAGTAATTTCAGTCCCCTCGAGTATGTTTTTTTAACTACATGTACTGAAACAGAACACATGAAGATGTCAAGATATTTTATGCTATAAGCAAATAAAGTCCGGTTTCAATCAACATGGAGGAAACCAACCGAACCACACAAAGAAACGACGTTTGCTTTCAACTTATATATTTACATAGCTGTAAGTAGTCTTAGTAGTCTGTAAGTCTCTTTTTTCAGAAATACTTTTTCTTCATAAGAGTTTAAACTCTTAAAATATGGAACCAGATTGCACAAAACAATTGCATTCTTTAGCCTGTATAAACTGAAAGAACTACATGGAAAATATTTAAGCATATTATGTGGATAAGAAAAGAGGAAGGCAGAGAAGAGACAGGGCAGGGTTTTCACAAGAGCCTGAGAAATCTGGAAGCACGAGGTCTTACTACTTCAGCCAGAATTTCTGCACTGTATTTAATAAAAAAATATTTAAATGCTGTAGGAAATAGCAAGGTAAAGAGTGTGCTGCCTTTTGGAGAACATTTTAATTGTTGAAAAACCTTACATTTTGTCGTCTTCTGATTCTTGAGCTTATAGTAGACAAACTGTGAAATCATAATTATATCCATGTTAACATAAAAAATGGCAGTGGCATTCTGAAAGAGAAGATACATTCGCTTGTTCAGCACACAAATAGTTCAAAACACCTTAAGTCGATGGAAATTATGCTTCAAGATCAAAATGTGAATGACAAATACCAAAACACTGTCAAAAAAACCCCTCCAAAAAAGCAAGTTTAAAGAGTTATAACCCAAAAACCCCCTTGATCTATCACAAGCTAATCAACACAACTTCCTTTCAGCTCTATTTGCTCAACAAGCTTACTTTGAAGCTGAAGCTTAACTGAAAATTCCCCACTTCATTCATCACTGGGTAACACCCAGTAAGTCTCTCCCAATGTTAATTACAAGTGTGAAATGGTCCCCACAACACATAACAGCATTAATGTAAATATTTGGGAAATTATAACTTATTTCATGGATGGTAGATCAGTGAACAGAATACAAAACCATTTTCTTTCCCAGCATGTACTTCACTGGGCAGTATTACACTACCATAGAGGTTAAAGAGACAGTTTGAAAAGAATAAACCAAAAAGCAGGAATATTGACAGTACCTGAATTGGCAGTTGATTTGTTAAATAGCAGCCTACGAAGTTTGCCAGATCTCCAGCTATCCAACACAGCAGAAAGCCCAAAGACAGCGCTTGATCCACCCTTCCGCTCTGACAGGCGCTGTAAATTTGACTGGCACAAATTTCAGAAGTCATTGTAAAGCAGTGTAAGCAAAAACATAAAGTTTCATCAGCTCAGAAGCACATTTTTCAAAATCTGAATAAGGATTAAAACTCTACCCACCAGAGAGCTATCACAGCCATCCTCCACTCACCTTTTGAGGAAGAGCTCAGCACCTCTGTAGCTCACCACCTCTTACTCTACCACAACAAAAGACTCCAATCACAACCTCATTACTGCTTGCATGTGTGCCTTTGTGGCCTGCACTGAAACACCCTTTTCTGGACACCAGAACTAAAGCATTTTATATCCATCTGCTGTAAATACCAGCTTTAAAATACTGAAATGGGAAAACCACTGTTATTTAACACAGAAGGGCTAAGAATGAAGCAAGCTTCTAAAAGAGTTGACAACTACACTTAAACTGGAGAACTGCTATTCAAATCCACAATGGGGACCACAAAGCAATCCCAAACCAGAGTCCATCAGACATATCCTGATGAATTCCATGCTCACTGAGATGACAGTTTTAATGTAAAGCCCCCTTTCAACTGATATTTCAACTAATATTTCTGAAGCTCAACAGCTTCCTAAGAGTGGTTTTATTTTGCTTGATTTCCATAGCCTTTTTACTAGTTCAGTAAATCATATACCCCTTACGGGGACAGACTTGGAAGTCAATCCCATTTTGTTTTGGGCATTTCCACCTGCTGGGGAAATTTCTTCTTTTCCTTTGTCATCTCCTACCTACACACCTGAACCCTGAACCAGCAACCAAACAGCAACTGGTTTAGCAGGACCGGAGTGCAAACTCATGGGCTGCTTCTGACCTTTTCCCAGTCCAAATTTCATATGTCACCAGTACTGGTGACAGAACACGTGGTTTAAATAAACACCAAATTAGCTTCTGCTGCAAGTGTCCCTCTGCGTGCACACACATCTCGGGGTGGAGAAGATAAGAGAGAAGAGGTGATTTATTCTCATTTGCTCTAAGTGGCAGAGATTAGTGTCAAGCCAGTACAACACAACAGTACATCAAGCTCATTTGTCAACCACCAAATATTGTTGCAAACACGAACAACATGCTTCTCTGGCATATTATATCTGTATTATGCAGATAGAGAAACATATCCAAGATAAAATTAAAAAAAAAACAAAGGCAGCTTTTGAAAAAGGCTCCAGGGAAGATTACTTGTGTTTGAATCTGAGGACTGCTTAAGACTTTAAACTTACGGTAGTGCAGCAAACAGAAAACAGACAATGGAAATCAGCCCCGTGACAACGCTCCAATACTCCCACGCGTCCTCCACACATTCGTCCAGCAGATGCCAAATCCATGGTGTTCCATTTGTGCACAATCTCCCATTCTCTACCGGGGAGATATTGAAAGCGTGCGTATCCAGCTGAGAAGCCATCGTTCCTGGACCCAGATTCGATTTCTGAAGTTTATTTCTGCCTCCGTTTTTACCCCGTGCAAATCCACAAATCCGTTTACCAACGCCGAATATCCGCTGTGAAAAGACCTCTGCATCCAGACGGATGCTTGATATCACAGTTATTTCCAATCTCATAAACGAACCTGCCAAATGCGAAGAAATAAATATAGCCAGTGTGAATAAGACATTAACAACGCTTGCTTACATTTATTGCTTACAGAAGAGAAGTTAGACTTCCAAGAAAGAAAAATACTTTGCGGTCCATCACATTCATTAGCTCTTGACAAATCTGCAACACTCCAGATTTATGTAACTATAGCATTTTAGGCTGAGGTTGTGTTAGACTGAGACTGCCAGTTACACTGAGGAGCCAGCAATCTGCCACAGGCTAAATAAACCAAGCCGTTTATTCACATTTCAGACCAAACCTCTGATTTTCATGTTCAACATTATGCCAATGAACACACACTACTTTCTTTAAGGGTAGAAGCCCAGATTCTGAACACTCACACTTACAAAATGTAAATCTAATGTTGTTTTCTGTGCAACTCAATTCAGGATAATGTTATGAAAAGGAAGTAATTTATGACTTAGATTGCAGATGAGCTCTAAGGTCTACCTGGATCTAGATAGTCCCTCACTCTGTCAAATGATTCAACATAGTTTCAAACAACTTGCATTATTTAATACTCCAGAGCAGAGATGGAAAGCCTAAGAAACTCGCAGAAGGCAAATGTAGGGTACTCCTGCCCCCAAAACCCCTGGAATTAAACATAACACTATAATACGACTTAAATTTTGAAGCAAAGGAGGGTTGGGTTTGACCTTTCAAAATATTTTCTTGTAGCCATTTATAATAATTCTGGATGGTTTTTATTC